TATAAAAACATGTTATTTCCTAAATAAATATGGAAACCAAATTTTTATGACAGAATCAAAAGACATAGAAGTCAATTAGAGCTTAAAAACCTGTGTAATAAATCTTTGAGATACAAAGCTAACGCATCATAAATGACTTGAGCAACATTTTTTACTCATTAACAGAATCGGTTTGTTATTTTGTAAATAGAACTTTTCTGTCGATTACTTTGGTCTGAAATCGAAACAGCCGCCATCGACCCTGACCTCCCGGCGCTGACAGAGTGCGCATGCGCAGCACCGAATTCAGAATGCCGATGTGGCTCGTGCGGCAAAGTTAGCTTGTAGCTTTTAAAGTTAATCAGAAGCCGAAATGAACTTTTTCATTGTGGCCTTGCTTTGTGCGTGTTGTAGTTTAGCTGCAGCGGACCAAGACGAGAGAATGCCGAATAAATGTGAAGGTAGGATGAGAAAGAGACCCGCTTGTTTACACGCTGTCTTGTTTGTTTGTTTACGCTCGTGTGTGTGTGTGCGTGCGCGTGCGTGCGTGCGTGTGTCAGTGTGTAAGTTCCTGACAGTGGAGCTTCAGGAGGCTCTGGAGAAAACCGGTCGGTCCAAAGAGGTTCTGGAGGTCGGAGACGTGTTGGACACAGGCAAGAGAAGAAGAAAGATCAAATATAACACCTCGTGAGTAAAACTCAGTGAGCACCAGTCCGTTTTATATCATCTGAAATCATTTCTTTAGTGTAAAAATGACAGGAGGTTCAGGACTTTAGTGCAGTGGGTCTGATATTTAAATCTTGTGTTTAAACTCAGGGAAACCAGGCTGACTGAGGTGCTGGATGATATTTGTGAGCGTATTCTGCAGTATAATGTTCATGCTGAGAGACCCGGCAGCCTCAGGTACTCCAAGGTAAGCTGTTTTTAAACACGTGTTACCTGAGCAGGTAAAAGTTACAGGTGGCAGGAAGTCATTGTTCCTCTGTCGCCACAGGGGTCCAGTCAGACCATGACGACTTTGAAGAATCTGGTCAACAAAGGGGTGAAGGTGGACCTGGGCATGCCGTACGAGCTCTGGGATGAACCGTCAGCGGAGGTGACAGACCTGAAGAAGCAGGTAGTCTGACCGGTCTAGCACCACCAGTTCCATCGGGTTTTACATACATCAGCCGAACTTACGTTCCTCTGGGACCACCTCTTTGTGTGTCAGTGTGAGATGATGCTGGAGCGCTACGAGGAGGTGGTGGAGGACTGGTACTTCCACCATCAGGACCAGAGACTGGACAGCTTCCTCTGTAAGGAGCATGTCCTCCAGACTTCAGAGCGAGGTACGACACAGACCCAGCTGCTCACCGTTACTGCACGCTTGTGGGTAGACTTTGTACGTTTAGTCAATTAATGTTGGACTATTAATATGTTTCAAACAAAACTGCTAATTACTTCATGTCAGGATTCAAGTTTGGGTTTTTGTCGAGTTCTTTTCTGTCATAAGAGATTATTAAAAAAAGCTGACAGGTTGAAGATATTTTGCTGAGTCAGTGTTCACACCTGTTTGTAGTTTCCTCTGTTTGTGCTTTTGAACTCACCATACCTGCCCTTACTTTGTCTTATGCTACCTTTTGCTGCTGTTATGTATAATTTAAACTACTTTTAGCTACTATTTTGTTGTTTTTAGCTGTTTTACTACCTTTAACAAGTGTTTTGCTACCTTTAGCTACTGTTTTACTACTTTTAGGCACTATTTAACTGTCTATCTGTTTTGCGACTTTTAGCCACTGTCTTGCTGTTTTTGGTTACTATTTTACAACTTTTAGCTACAATTTTGCTGCTTTTAGCTACTATTTTACTACCCTTAGCTACCGTTTTACTACTTTTAGGTCAGGGGTCTCCAACCTTTTTTTCCTTAAAGTGTATCTTACCCCCCCTGTGAAAAGATAACTCCGCCCCAAGGCGAAATTTGAAAAATGCATCAAAGTGGGTGGGTGGGGAAGGGGGGGTTAGAGAGCGAAGGTGTGGCCAGGAC